ACACAAGGAGAAGGTGAAGCATGCTCAAGTGGACTGGAGAATTTCACCTCTGATGGAGCCCTGCAGAGCATGTACAGACAGAGAGAGTCAGCAGCAGGATCATGGAACACAGCCTGCCCATGGTGAGACAGCAGTCATGGTGATTCTTTGTTCTAGGCTTTACAACCCAGAAGAAGGTGGAGCTGGGGAGGTTTGCATTCCTCTAACCCGGGTCATGATCCTGATGGGTGCAGAAAGGTCTCAGGAGTCAGTAATGGAACAGGTCTGTGATGGGCAGCACCTCTGTCTTCATGTGAGGCTTCCCATATCTGCTGCTAACATGGGTTGTCTGTCCCCAGGGCCCAATGCACACAAAGTATTCTGTTTCATCCTGTGGATTGTGGAGAGTGAAAACCTGTTCCAGGAGATAAGGTGACTTCCTTGGATATTTATCACAGGAACCCTTGCAACTATGGTTCCTGCCTAACAGGACCATAGAAGAGGTGAAGTGGTGGCCTTCCACCTGCAGTCAGATTATGTGATTCCTGTGTCTGGGCAGCAGGAAACTTTCCCAGAATGCTGTTTTTCTTCTTTCTATAATCCACTCATATAGGAATGAATTGATGCCCTAACAACTGTTGATAAAATGGAAATACATAATAAAAAATTCAATGAGTTTATGGTTAATAAAAAGGGACTGTGGTGATTTCCACAGCAGATAGAAGTCATGCTGAATGCACCATGCTGCCAATGTTTTAATTTTGGAAACTTCCTGTATCTCCTGATGAAAAACCTACCTGAACATTTTTTGTGTCATCATTTGAGTCTTTGGGGATTTTGAATGCGAGATACTATCATTGTTTGATGCTGTGCTTCAATTATCAGTGAGGTAAAACCTCCCCACATCACATAACATTTGCACTCCCCCAGCTGTCAACAAGCTGAAGAGCACAGAAGAAAAACGCCTGCATTGATAGTAAATGTACTCCAGCAGTGCAGGAGCTGTGGAAGCAACTCTGTAGGTCGTTCAGCAGCCAACAGGCCACTGAGTGTGCTCAGAGAACAACCACCCACAGCTGGTCCTCATCGCCCCATGGTGGTCCTGAATGCCTATGCCAGTTCTGAGCGCCTTCTGCTGGTCATGAAAGACCTCTGCTGGTCCTCATCACCCTCTTCTGGTCCTGACTGCACTACTCGTCCGGAGCGACCTCTGCTGGTCCTCATCAGACCCTGCTCTTCGTGAATGCCCTTTAACAGTTCTAAGCACCCTCTGCTGTTGCTGAGCAACCTCTGCTTGTCCTGAGCTCTTTCTGTTGTTTCTCAGTGCCTTTTGCTTGTCCTGAGGTCTTTCTGCTGGTCTTGAGTGCCATCTGCTGGTCTTCATCACCACCACCCCGATTCTGAATGCCCTTTACTGGTTCTGAGTGCCCTCAGTTGGTCCTGAGCAAGCTCCACTATTCCCAAGTGCTCCCTGCTGTGTCTAAGCATCTCTTATTCTTTAAAGTATTCTTTGCTCTCCTTGAGTGCACAGTGCTGGCCCTTGGTGCACATCTTGAGCATATCCTGTTGACTCTGAGTTCTCTTGGTGGTATTCAATAACACTGTAGTTAGGTTTGTATTAGGGACCACTGAAGTCCAATCAAAAGTACATCTCACAGGAAAACTGAACTTGGTCTGGATTGTCAGACTTCATTTGCATGTATACTGTGTTCCTATCTTTGTCTCTGAGATTAGTCACTTATCCCTTCATTGGGTCTGCATAATATGTGGTATTAGCAATATTACTTTTACACCTGGTCCATCCTCTACCTTGGAGCCTGTTGGAACACCTTGTGTCACAAATTTTGAGGCTGAATCAAGAGATTTTACAATAGAGTATCAGGGCATCCCCAGACTGCACCAATCCTCTCCCAGAACCCACGAACTTCCCCTCAAAGTTGGACACCTGAAAACACAGAAAATCCTGGTCAAGAAACTCTCACACATTCTCACTGTGTCTCACTCATCTCCACTTACTCATACAAAGAGTAAGTGTTGTCTCTGTATATAGTATCCTGAAATAGCAACAAGGAAAAGCCAACACAGCACCAACTCCATGGTATGTTTTGTGTTCAGTGTTGATATCAAATGAAAGTACCTGGGAACCCAGGACTGGGGAGCCTCTCTTGGGTCCTCAGTGTCAGGATTCGATTGATTTTCCTCAGTAGAAAGAGCACATTTTCATGGATCATCCTACGTTATTGCAAGCTCTGTCATTGGACCCTTACAGAAGACAGTTACCAGAGAAGACCTGTGTCCTGAGGAATTCAGTGTTGATAATGTTTGGAATCTGTGGAGTTTTTATCATGTGTTGGAACTATGGTAAACACTGAGGACATTTCACATTGTTTCATTTTAGCATATGCACATTCATTATAAAATTCTCCATGTTGGAAATTACAAATAAATCAGTCCACTGTTGAGCAGCATATTCTACAGTACACTCTGCCAGAGTTAGACCCACTATCTGGGATTGTTCTCTTCATCATTGCAAATATTGCTCACCAATCCACACCAACACTGAGTGAATCTGCATGCTGGGGCTGAAACCCCCCATCCTGTATTGAGAAACACATGGTGATACTAATTCCAGTATGAACCTTAGGAAGGGCAGGAAATTCTGTGACTTTCTCCTGGTATTACCAAATGCAGTCACTACTTCCCTGCACTTTTCCAATTCTGTAGTACATTTCTGTAGTATTTGATGACATGTGACTGAGATGAAATAGTCTTGACTATAGTCCCACTATTTGTTAAAAACTGATGTGCATGCAAACCTGGGCAGCATTCCCACATGGAGCAAAGTGAGCACATCCACCACTCTCAAAGTTTCCCCATGTTCTTCTGTCCTTATTCCCTACTGTGCTCCTTCCCCACCATGTCTCCAGGTAGCTCCTGATACTGAGTTTTCTACAAAACTCTAGGTCAGGATTCAGTTTCTAGCAGTTACAGAGTGCATTATGTGCTTTCTTTGACCTGTCACTGGCAGTGATTAATCATGAATGTCACTATTCATCAGGCATTCATTGGATTAATGATGGCTTATATTTTCATGAGTCAATTAGATGCAATTTGTTTACCTGGAGAGTTGCTGGTTGATAATTACATTATTTTCAGATTCTGACTGCACATGTGAAGATTCAACTGAGCTTAGAGATGTTGGCATCTTAGAACACAGCTCCTCTTTTTCTTATAGCAACAAACAGAGCATCAAACACAAAAAAACTGGTCCAATTATCTTCTTCATTCAGATATTGAACGTTACAGAAAAATAACTATCCTAACTCTTGGTGCAGACAATGCTTGAAGAAAGACTCATGAACTGTGGATGAGCTCACATGAGTTGCAGGCACCCAGATGTCACAAAATAGTATAAACATACAGGTGAAAAACACCAAGGAATATAGACGGTTGTATGTTTTAATTGCATTATATTCATAAATGCTCAGGAAATTCATATCAATTGGGTTCCAATTCCTTCAAGAATTTTTCTACTGTTAGTGTCTATACCACAGTTATCTCCCCAGTGGTTCTGAGTAAAGTGAATGATATCAAACTCTTCCATCCTGGGAAAGACTCACCTCCTCCTCATAATTTCAGAAATACACAGTGAATCTGTCAAGTTGAACCAGCCATCTGGGCCTGAGGAAGAAAAGTTATGTGGGAAAAACATCATAGAAAAATCTGGAATACTGTCAAGAGCCACCTCCCCTCTGTCCTTAAGAAGTCAGGATTCATCTTCAAGCAGGAAAGCAAATCAGGTAGCTGAGGGTACTGTGGTGAACCACTGCAGCTGTGATAAAGAAGGACAGGGAAAAACCAAATCAAAGCCCCCCTTAGGGAATAATCAAGAGAAGAGGATTCCATGTCACTTCTGGAGGAGGGACAGTGTGGTGTGGAATATTACAGAATGACCCAAAAACATTATACCTGCCTGGAATCTACACTCAGGCAGGAGGTCAGAAAGGACCTCCTATATTTTCAATTTCCATAATATTAAGAATTATCAAATCTTAACCTGTAGTACAGCAGGGAGGGCACAGTCACATAAATCCTCTCTTGAAAAGCACAGAGCATCATGAAAGCCATGGTATGGGACCAAAACAGAGCACTTCCCTAACATCTGAACTCTGCTGTGCTCAGAAGAAGGGAATTTAGTTCTAGTGTTCATGGTGACAAAATCTCCCAATGTCACTTTGATTACTTGTACCAAAAGTCCATAGCAAATTTCTATGTAGTTTCATGGTTTGATGATCTCTGGAGTAAAATAAGAAAATAATATGCTAACATACAGTGTGCTATTAAATATACATGGATTTTAGAAAATAACAAATGACCTGAATAAAAAGAAAAAAGTTATATGGACAGAGAATCACAATGCCTTTTATATAGATTTTGTAATTATCAAATTGAACAGAAAGTTAAAAATCATCATGATAACTGTGAGACACTCCAATGTGCAGACTTACTGAAGGTCACCTAGGCAACTCACTTATGAGTCACCAGGGACAATCGCAGTGATCATAAGAACTGCACACCTTTGAGACTCATCACTGAATTGTGAAAATAGGGAGATGAAAACCTGATCCCTGAAGCTACACATGTAATACCAAGAGACAGCTAAGAGTTGCAGAGATTAGCAAGATATGAAGGCTGTGATTCCTGAGGCTCTGAGTTGAAACAATTGAAGGTGGAATAAGAGTCCCAGAGAGAGACCCAGGGCAGCGTCTGAAAGAAATGATAAAGAGAGTGGAAAGACTAATAAGGTGAACAGAGTGAGAAACTGATACTATGAAAGAGAAAAGTCTGGAAGAGGTGGAGTTGGACTCCAAATGGTGAGGGATGCAACCTTGTTCACTAGAGGCGCCCCTAGGAGACTATGAGGGTTCAAAAATTTCAGGAATCAACTCCTAAAGCTGATGATGCTATAATGATAGCATCAAGTGCTGATACAAGGACAGAGCAATAGAGATGGCTGACACTCACATTCCACTGATTGTATTGAGAGTAATGAGAATAGATGCCCAGGGCAGCAGAGACACCATGGTGTTGCCATTGAGGTTTGAACCAGACTCAGGCTGTCCCTCACGTGGATCTGCAGGTATGGAGGATAATCTGCTTCCATGAGTCAGATGGAATGCGTCTGTGTCTTTTTCCTTATAGGCATACCGAGGCTGATCATCAAGGCTCATAACTCCTGGCATCTGGACAACAGGTAGGACAGGCAAGTAACATTCCTGGGTTTTGATGCTCAGGGTGACTATGTTCCCATTCCGTTTATCTAATGTGCACACTGACTGGCTGCGTTTATGTGATGGAAACTTGTCTCAACACCCCTCACCCACTGTGGCCAACTGTGTACTTCTGTATTACACATTGTAGGTCATGTGTGATGCATGGTCATTTTGTTTCTCGGGACTTCTGGTGACAAACTGTGGCCCCACCTGCATGCTCTTGCTACTTTCATCCTCTTGCAGGAATAAGTCATCTTTAGAATAAAAAGATCACCTGACACTCATTATGGGGGAACGATAAGGATTGGGCCCACAGAACTTTAGACTCTGTCTGAGTACTCACAACACAAATGGGTGTCACATCTGCAGGTCTCCCCTAGGAAATAGTGGATAGAGCTGACTCCGTGGAAGACTGAACAGAGAAAAGTAAGCTATCTGTTCACATTACATTTGGTCTTTCAGTCTTACTCATAGGTTAATAATGCCCCTGTCCATTTCACATGAGTCCTTCCACAGAGGACAGCAGAAGGCCCTGGGCTGTTGGGATGGAGAGTTCCCACCACCCTCTCCTAGAGGTCTGCAGGAACAGAGCCTAAGACACAGCTGAGATAAATGGTACATGGGCCAGGATTTGGGATTTATATCTCAGGATGTGAAATAGTAATTTCTCATTGAACAAAGTCAAAGAGGAAATATATACAAAACTATTATTGAGTAAGAAAAGGAACTAAATAAAATAATACAAAATAATGCATATGGGTAAGGTCTGAGCACATTGTGCTTAGTTCCTCACAAGATGAGAAAAAGAGAGCCCTGTTAGGTTTTATGCATCACTGACAGTGGTGTGGAAGCCCGTTTATCACAACCCAAATCCTAATGTCCGTGCTAATCAGTGATTGCCTCACAGTCTCTATGCTTTCTTGGTAAAAGACTTACCAGGATGCCCTGAGCCACTGCAGGATCTGATCCTATTGATACTTCACTGGATTGCTGCTCCCCAAGTTCATGCCATGGCACAGTTGATGACTGAGGAGTTGCACAAGCAGTTAAGAGTTAAACAATTTCACGTTGCACACTAGGAGTTAAGAGTAAAGCAAGAACAAAGTTCACTGAAAGGAAAGCAAAGCTCCGCATCCTAATGGGTGGCACATAGTGAGATAGCTGAGCCAAAGAATGGCTGAAGTGTATAAGACCATGCAGGGTCTGACTTCAGGCACCTCCCCACTCTACCTACAACACTGGTGTAATTGACATCCTAATTGACTTTGACCAGCCACATCGTTATCAGACTTGATATTCAAGAGTGTCCATGCTGTCAGGATTATCAACAACATTTTATGACAACTGCTCATTGTTGAGGTGAGACCCCTTTTTGTTTTTCTTGGGAAACTGGCTATGCTACTCTCATTTAGAGGATCTATATAACAACCCTTTAGATGTCTGCTCTTAGGAATGTTTTATCTTGTTTTCCTGATCTAGGAAGAGAAACTACTGTGCCTCAGCACCTGTGTGCTAAACTGGCTTCTCAGTCTCCCCAAATGTTTTGCTTTTAAATATGCCTTCCTATCTCATTTATCTACAACACAGTTCCTTTTGCCATCCTTCCTTTATATCCCAGGGTTATTTCTGGTGTTTTTTCCCAGGGTCATCTCTGCCATTTCATTTCCCCTCACACTTGTACCTTTAACCATGACTTTAGCACAGTCATCTCAGCCCCATAAGTGACATTCTGAATATTAAATATGTAAGAATATATTTTATGCAATTGATTAGCATAATAAAACATTACTCTTCATATTCAGAGACATTACAGGTTAGTACTCGCAACAAATCTATGCTTCTCTGGGGAAACTGTTAGATGGAGAGGCATCCAACTTACAAGGGAGAACAGTCCTTGACTCCTGTCTGCACCTGACCTGATGCTGAGCCTGAGCTCCATGTGTGCTGAGCACCCCCTCTGGTCCTGAGTGTCCCTGCAGGGAGTTTTGTGTCTGGGATCACAATGAAGCCCCATCACTGGGTGTCTTACACAATAATACAAGGCAGTGTCCTCGGCTTTCAGGCTGTTCATCTGCAGATACAACTGGCTCTTCAAATTGTCTCTGGAGATGGTGAATCTGCCCTTCATGGAATCTGGCAGTATGTACTACCACCATCTTTCCTAATTTGTACAACCCACTCCAGCCCCTTCCCTGGAGCCTGGTGGACCCAGTCCATGTAGTAATCACTAAAGGTGAGTCTGGAGGCTGCACAGGAGAGTTTCAGGGATCCCCCAGGTGGCACCAAGCCTCCCTCAGACTCCACCAGTTGCACCTCACACTGGACACCTACAAAGACAGAGAATCCTTGTCAGAAAACTGTCACACATATACATTGTTCTTCTCATGCATGTCCATTTACACACTCAGTATCTTTTTCCATGAATCACCTTTTAAAATAGCAACAAGAAAAACCCATCTCAAACCCAACTCCATGGTGAGTAGGTTGTGTTCAGTATTGATCTGTGAATGGGATCAACTAGAAATCCAGTACTGGGCTCCTCTCCAGAGCTGCAGAGAAAGGCTGAGCTTGATTTTTCTGGACAGAAGGAGGTCTATTTGCATGTTCTCCTGCTATATAGCAAGTTCTTGGGTTTCACTTCAAACAGAATAAGGTGCCCACTGCTAATGTGGATGTTCTAGGAGAAACTTGAAGTCATGATAACATTTAGGTAAATAGTTTTTATTATATGTTTATATTGTGATAATATGAATCCCTGACTATTTTATCTCCATGTTCATGTACATATAAGTCATACATTTCATTTGCATCTTACATTTTCCAGACATAAAAATTGAGTCAAAGCAGAGAAGGACTAAGTGATATGCTTAGAACTCTTTTCTGATACAAAAAACTCAATTATTTGAACTGTAGACCTTCTCACAGTTCTCACTGACCATGAACAGAATCCAAGGCAAAGGTGAACATACTCTTCCTCCATGAGAACACAGCATGATTTTCGTGATTGATAAGCAATTAAGAATCTTTCATGCATCTACTCATGAGTCTTTAACAATTCTTGTGTTAGTTTCACTCACTCCTTAACTACTCAAAATACTTCTGTTTATTTTTAATAGCATTAATGAACTATGAATGATACACATAGTTTTACATTTGTAAATACGTACACTATGATACATATTGAGAAAAACATCCATTGACACAATAGGGAAAAGCAATTTCCCAAAATATTTCCTCCTGTTTTGATTTTCTTGTTCATTCTACAGCTTACCTTACAAAATTATTGCAGGTATAGATAAGTGTATTATAATAGTTCCATACAGTGTCTTCTGTAGTTACTAGATCATGTGATGTTCCATTTGTATAAAATACTAGCTATAATGAGAGAGTCTGGATGTTACTTATCAAGAAATCCAGAGATAGTAGTGTTATCCTAAATATTTGGTTATCATTGCTGCTGTGTTTTGCTTGTGCCTGCCTTGGATACTAATATTTTTCATTTTTAGTTTGTGGTTAATTTTTGTTGGGTTTATCATGAAGAACATACATGGGTCTAAGTTTAAGAGAAACATTAAATTCATCCAAATGCCATTATAATAAAGCAGAAGGAAGGCTGAACTTGGGTCTTGAACCTTCTGTAAATCCATTGCTGTTTTCATACATTGTGCCTTGGCTAATCCAACTATGATCAGTTTTTCTGTGAGAAATATTATAGTGTAAACTCTGAGCACTTTATAATGAATATAGTATGTATTTATTACTATAATCACCATAGGCCACACAAGATCTGCTTCATTATTTTCCTTCTGCAACAGAAACTTTTAAACCTTCTACCAATATTTTCTCACCTCATTTCCCCACACTTTTAACTTGCATTCTACTTGTGTCTTCTGTTAGATCCACTGCTTCAGATTCCACCAAACAAATTTCACTTAACACAGTGTTAATCCAAATATAACTCTGGAGCCGTAACACTAGTTGCTATTAACTGGAAAAGCCTCTGACACCCACAGAACTGAACTGCAAACATGGTCAGTTCTTATTTCCACAAACCATGGATCACTGTTCACTGAGTTTGGGGCCATGGACAGTCAATGCCTAAATCAATAAACCCTGATCCAAACACCCAGAGCTATGATCACTTTCTTACAGAACTTGGAGCAACAGTCTCTAGTTTTCAGGATCCTGGTATGAATTCCTATGGGTTTGTCAGTCCAACTCACAATCCCTTGGCTTTCAAGGGATCAGGACACCAACACTGATGAAGCTATCCTTTGCCTATTTACAACTTACAACTGTTACAAGAAAAGAACCTCAATCTTGACTAGATTCAACCTCTCCATCATTATCTCTCAAATACTTTTCCATTCTTAAAACAAGTTCAGCAGTTTTCATTGTTGTATTTCATACAAGTGTATGAGATACATCCTCCATATTGTCCTTACTTCACCCTCCGACTGGATCCCACCCCCTAAACAGGACATCTTTTACCTTCCTATCCTTCATATATTCACTATTTTTGGTGAGAAAATTAACTATAGTCAGTATGCTGCACCATATTACTATAGAATTTCCTCATGCTGTCAACCTGAAGCATTGTGCACTTGACCTCCATTTCCCCATCCCAACCTTTGGTAATCACCATTCTATTGCTTTATGAGCTCAACCTTTTGTATTGCACTTCTTATTGAGGCAGTGCACTGCTTGTCCCTCTTCTTCTGGCCTTTTTCACTTAGTGTGTAATCAAGGTTTTTCTTATTATTTTCGATATTGCTGGGCTGGGGGTACATGGTCACATATACAAAAGTTCTCACAGTATATCATATTTTGATTACCCCCTCCATCATTCTCTCTTATACTCCCTACCCCATTCCTGGAATAGTTTCAACAGGTCTCATTTTTCTATTCTCGTACATGTGGATAAAATATTTGCACCATATTAACCCTCCTATATCATCTCCCCATACCCTCCCCTTGTAGCTGGTACCAAAACCCAGATAGGATTGAATTAATAATCATTATCTAATGAGATGTTTTTCTGATATTAGAATCTCACCTGTCACTTTCCAAGTGTCAGGATTCCATCTTCTAGGAACTTCTAACTCTTTTCTGGGTATAAGCTTTCTGATGAGCAGATCCCATAGGATCTCCAGTTTTGTTTGCATAGCACTTCTCTCAGATCCTCCATGTGTGCAAGATACCATTTATGTATTATCAATTCATAAACATTTGGATGACCTAGGGTTATAGAAATTTCTCTCTTAAAAGAAAATATGATGTCCACACTTCAGTAAAACCTTAATCTTATAGATTCTGATTCACTATTGTTTGTCCTACTCCACATCCAGAAATTCAATTAAGAAAAACCTTTTAGGGATTTGTGAGCCTTTACAAGGGGTTGCACCATAACACTGATCCATCTGGCCAATGCACCAGACACATTTTATCCTATGCCATATTAAAAAAAAAATCCACTGTACCTCATTTCATACAACACCCAAGGGACCTGTGATGTAGTTAGAAAAGAAACAGGAAGACAGGTCTATGAGGCCCTGTGGTGTAGAGGGAACCCTAGAGGCTGACAGGAAAGGACAAATCCTCCTTATTTTGCTGTTGCACAGAGGAAGGAGCAGAGTTGAGGTCCTGCCTGAGATCATCTGCAGGAAGCACCTGGGGCTGTCACCATGATGCCTTAGCACAGTAATAGGTGTCTGTGTCAGCAGGCTTCGTGCTTGTCATTGTAAGGAACACTTTTTCTTTTGAAATGTTCTTGGAGTTTTGTGAGTGAGGTCTTCATGGCTGTGCTGAAGTACTTATCATCATGCAATCAAAGTGGGATCACCACTACTGGGCCTTCCCTTGGGGCTGATGGGCTGAGATAACATACCAGTAGAGTTCTGAGAGAAGCCAGAGAAGGAGCAGGTCAACCTGAGAAACTGGAAAGGTGGACCAGTCCAGGGCTAGACTCCTTTAGGGCGACATGAAACAGGATCCATGTGGAGAAACACAAGAAGAATGTGAAGCCCATTCAGATAAGGAATGGAGACTTTCATCACCAAGGGAGACTTTCAGAGCACTCACAGTCAGGGAGAGTCAGCAGCAGGAGCGTGAAACACAGCTGGTCCATGGTGGAACAGCAGTCATGACCCAGGCTCAGTGCTGGGCTTTTTCATCCAGGACTGGCGGGAGCTGGAGAGATTTGCATTCCCTGTACCAGAACCCTGAACCCCTTGGATCAACTCAGGTCTCACAACTCAGGAGGTGTGCAGGTCTGTGACGAGCACCATAGGAGATCTCAGGTGAAGCTTCCATGTGTGAAGCTTCCATGTCTGCTGCCAATGGAGGTCACATGCCTCATTAGGACCAAGGGTCTCTGCAAACAAATTCAAGCTGGGTGGTTTGTGGACAGTGAGAATGAGTGGCCCTCATTACAGCTCAAAGTGTCATCTTTTTGGGGGGCTCATTCAAGGGCCATTGCCCATGTAGTTCCTTTCTAAAGGATGAAAGGAAATACTATCAGAATGTTGTCCCCCTGTTTTCATGATTCTGAGGGCTGTGTGACTAGAGGCCAGATGTTTCTGGGTGTCCTGTACTCTTTCTGGTAGGCAGTGAAATGAATTCATGATTAGCTTGGAATAAGGAGAGTGGAGGAAACACTTTTATTTGCTTTGTAAAGAGGTGCGTATGCATCAGTGTCGCTCACATCTGTATTCTACAAAAACGGTTCACAGTAAACACTTCAAACCCTGTGCCATTATTCTGAGGAGACAGAGGACAGAACATCTGACTTCCCTCTTTTCAGACTATGGCAGGAGAGACACATGGGTATCTGCCTCTTTTATGTCATCTTGCAGTTTAATATAAATTTTACCAAGCCAATCCTGTGAGGTGGCAATCTTTTTTCAGAAGCACACACTCCCTCTTGAGGGTGTACTTTCTTCTTTGATAAAATCTCCCCAATTTCTTATTTTGTATTCTCTCTGAATTCTTTCTCTGTCTCTGACAAGAACTTGGAGACACTGGGTAGAGGTCTCGTCTCTCTGAATCAGAGTCAAAACAGGGAACTGAAATTGCACCACATGGAACAGCTTCTTCATCACAAAGGGAGTGATTAGAAAATAAACAGAAAACCTCAGATTGTGAAGAATTAACTGAAAGCCAAACTCCTCTTCCAGAACTGGTGTCAAATACATAAAGATCTCAAGGAATTCAACCACAAGGAACAAAATAAGCTAATAAATTTACAGGTGACTTACATAGATATTTAATAAAAGAACATGTTCCTGTGTGCAAACAATGTATGAAAAATATTCACATTCTGTAATAATCACAAAAATCCAAACAAAACTGATAGTGATGTAGCCCTTTGCACCAGTTATTGTAAAATCCTCAGACATAACAAGTGTTTGGAAGAGGGGTGGTGAGGAGTGTACACTGATAGTGGCATGGTCCTTGTCTAAAGTTGAACATTACGTGTCCACATCATGTAATTGGAGGAGACCAG